CCTATGGGAGCCCTGATCCCGCTGCCCCGGGCTCCTGCCCCGCATGCCGCGAGCACTGCCCGCAGGAGAGCGGCAGCACTACAGAGGCGCCGCGGCCCCGCTGCACTGCGCGCTCCCTCCCTTCAGGGGACGGTGCTGCGCACAAAGGGCGGCTCAGCATTGTTCTCCTCCCTGACCCCCAAATCCCCTCTTCCCCGCCGGGAGAGGCGAACGGGAAGGGCCAGGACGAAGGGCGAAGACGGGGAGAGGCCAACTGCCCGCGGCGCTGGCCGCTTCCCAGCGTATCCTGCCTGCCATCTTCACCTTTCCCAAAACTTGCCTTCGTGCCGTGCCTGCCGTCGAAGCCCGCCTGCCCACCATCCCTCGTTCCCTCTTCGCAATGTAATGGGTTTTTCACATGTCACTTCGCCTAAAAATCCCACTGAGGCTACAAAGGAACCTCTGCCCACATCCCAGCCACCCAAGCATCCTTGTCGAGCTTGTGCACGGGATCACCCCGTTCACATACCCACAGGGGAGAAAAAAACCCGCAACTGTACCAATGCAAGGTATTCTTTGAAGATTTTGTCCTCAGATTCACAGAAGTGTCCTTCTTTTTAACCTTGATGGGCCTGGTTAGGTGACCAGGCGGTATTTAACCTACAGTCCCTTGCCACCTGCAGCCCAGTGCATTCCTGTCGCCACGCTCACAACTCCATGGAGCAGACACCAAGATACCGAGAGCCAGCAGAAAACTCATAGCATGTGAAGAAGAGAGTTGGAGCTACAACACGACACTGAGGAAAAACCACGGCTCGATTTAAATAATTGCATAATATTAGGATTTAACTTATAAATGTTTACATTTGTGTGATTTGATTAATGTCACGTTTGATTTCCTTAAAGCCACTGACAAGGTACTTTAAAACACGAGATTAACGTCTACCAGCGATGAAATTCAACAGGCAAATCCCCTTCCCAACACGCGGGCAGGCAGGGACCTCAGACCGCCTTTCTGCTCCCCGTAGCCCTCGGCCAAGGGGGCTCCCGGCACATCCCGTGGTCAGCGATCCCCCTCCCCCGCAGGTGACAGGATTCCCGGCCGGTCCCTCCCCCGGCACCCGCCGCGCTGCGCGGGGCTCCGCCGGCGCTCCCGTTCAAA